CCCTCACTGTGTGACCCCCCCTTTGCCCCCCCCCCTCAATCCTCTCCGGTTCCGTTTTCCTTTTATTTCTACGAACCCCAAAAATCCCAAATATACACAAACCGCGGGGGGAGGGGCGGGGGGGGCGCGGGGGGGGGCGGGGCTTTATTTACAGGACCCCTCCCCCCCGGCCCCGCCCCCCCCGCCCCCCAAAACCCGCCGGGGGGGGTCCTGGGCTATGGCTTTTCCTTTGGGGGTCCCACCCCCCTGGGAAGCACATGCAAATTGGGGGGGCTCAGCCGTGGCCCCCCCGATTTGGGGGGGGGGCTTTGTCGTGATAGCGGGGCCATATCGCGATAGCGAGGGGGGGAGGGGCTGGGGGAGGAAACAGGGGGGGGCTGCAGCTCCCCCTCCCCTCCCCCCAAGTCTTGTTGAGCCCCCACCCCACTGTCGCTGCTGGGGGGGCACAGAGACCCCAAATTAAGGGGAGGGTCATTAAACCTCTGCACCCCAATTGGGGGGTCATAACGACCCCAAAACCCACTGGGAGGGGGCACAGAGACCCCAAAAAGGGGGGTCATAAAGCCCCCCCCCCCAGCTGAAGGGGAGGGTATTTTGGGGTAACCCCCCCCCCCCCCAAAAAAGGGGCTTTCCAGTGTAAGGAGACTGAACCAGTGCTGGGGGGGGGCACCCCAAACTGGGGGGGAGGGGGGGGGGGCTGCTCCTCTTCCCTCCCCCCATTTCCTGCCCCGAGGGGGCCCCCCCCGGCCCCCCCAAATTGCTTCAAGCTTCCACCTCCTTATTGCTGCGAGTCCCTCGGCCGGGGGGGGCACAGAGACCCCCCCCCCAAATTGGGGGGACCCCCCGAACTGGGGGGCTTTGGGAAAGGAACAGGTTGCTGGGGGGGGTCACCCCGAGCCCTCCTCCCCCAAGACCCCCCCCAAAGCAGGTTGTCCCCACCCCCTCCCCCCAAAATAGACCACCCCAAAAAAGTGGGGGGGGTCCCTGTTTATTTGAGGGGTCCCCATTAATTTGGGGGTCCCTGTTTGTTTTCGGGGGGTCCCCATTTTTTGGGAGGTTCTCCATTTCTTTGGGATCCCCCTTTATTTGGGGAGGGGACCCCATTTATATGGGGAGTCCCTGTTTGTTTGGAGGGTCCCCGTTTATTTGGGAGCTTCCCCATTTTTTGGGGGGTGTCCCCATTTTTTTGAGGGGCTTCCCTGTTTTTTGGGGGGTCCCCAATTATTTGGGGGGGAGTCCCTGTTTGTTTTTGGGGGGTCCCCGTTTATTTAGGGGGTCCCTATTTCTTGGGGGATCCCCCATTTATTTGGGGGGTTCCCCATTCGTTCAGGGGGTCCCTGTTTTTTTCAGGGGGTCCTGCCGGCTCGGGGGGCTCCCCTGCTGGTTTTGGGGGGGTTCCCTGCCTGGTTTTGGGGGGTCCCTCCCTGCCTGGGGGTCCCTCTCAGCAGAGGGGGGGGTCCAGCGTGGGAACTCTCGGCTACTCCAGGAGATCCTGCGGAGAGACTGGAGCGTCACCCGGGGGGACACCCCAAAAACGGGGGGTTTGGGGGTTCAGGGGGGGTTCAGGGAGGGTTCAGGGGGTCTCCCCCATCCCTCACCTCGTCGGAGTCATCGTGGAAGCCCCCCTTGGTGGGGGCAGGGGGGGGCTCCAGCCCCTCGATGCCGTCGGCGCCCGAGGCCTCGGCGTGTTGTTGGAGCACCGAGTAGCGATGGACCAGGA